TCATTTCAGGACAGGTTCCAGTAGGCCGTTCCTGTGCTGCTTGGTGGTGTGATGTCAAGCGCATGGTGCAGGTAGGCAGGATGCAGTGGGGGTGATTGTTATATGTGGGGCTAAGATGGATATGGGAGAGAGGAGAGAAGAACAGGAGCCAAAAACATACAAACAAACAAAACAATACTAGGGGAGCTTGCCGTTGGAGTGGAGAGATGAGAGACTATGAAATGGAGAAAAAATACAGAAATGGGAAGAGGAAGAAAAGAAAAGAATGAATAAATAAAAATCGGAAAGGTTAAAGAACTGCAAAGTTCCCAGGGATCCCACCGGTGCAGCTGTGAGGTCTGGGGAAGTCACTCTCAGGTGTTGCAGTACAGCCTGGCTAGAAGGCACAGAGGTATACGACGCCAGGTATTCAGGGAACAGAAAGAGAAGGAAGATATAGAGAGACGAGAAACGAGCAATGAAGAAAGACAAAAAGGGAAAAAGAGGGAAAAGAAAACAAAGCAAATTAAAAAGAAAAAAAAAACAAGAAAGGCCCCCCAAAAAGAACAGAAAAAAAAAAACCAACGAAGAAAGAAATGCTCTCAGGGATCCCTCTGCACGTCTGTGCAAGCCAAGGGCGAAGCCTCCTTGCCATGCAGCACCACCTGGCCAGAAAGGGCTCCCAACTCAAGAAAAGGAAAAGAAAACAAAGAAACAATTCAAAACAAACTAACGAACAAAAGCCCTGGGATCCCACCAGCGCCGCAGCCGAGACCGGGAAGCAGCTCCACGCTCGAACGGAGCTCCATAGCCCCTCTGGAAGAAGCAAAGATGGTGCACGGAGCCAGGTATTTGAGTGAAAGGAGTGGGAGGTGGTGAGAGGTAAGGAAGAAATCAAAAGAAGCAGAAAAAAAAGCAACACTAGGAGCCAGCAAATGGCACGCAGAGACCCAGGTAGTGCGGACTGGTGTTTCTCGGACAGGAGACTGTCCACGGGAAGGAGAGGGGGCCGAGTGTGGGTGAAGAAGTGTAGGGAGTGGGAAAGCGTTTATCACAAATTACCGGAGCTCTGCAGCCCCTCAGGAAGAAGCAAAGCTGGTGCACGGAGCCAGGTATTTGAGTGAAAAGAGGGGGAGGTGGTGAGAGGTATGGAAGAAATCAAAAGAAGCGGAAAAAAACAACACCAGTAGCCAACAAATGGCACTCAGAGAGCTGACCCGTTCGGGTGTGTGGAATCCAAGCAGCCGGTGTTTCCCAGTCAAGAGATTGTGGCCACGGGAAGCAGAGGAGGCCGAGTGGTGGTGAAGAACGGTGTGGGGTGGGAAAGCGTATATTGCAAATTACCGGTTGTTTTGTCTCCTGCTGGACCCTCCGTCAGGCTGCTTTCGTACCCCCTGTTTGCTGGTCTCTGATAGGAGTCCAAGATGGCAGATCCGCCCTATGGTAGATGGTAGGGGACCTCTGCATGAATCTCTCCTTGCTCTCCGTTCTCTGTCAGTTTTCTCACTCCATTTGGTGCTTGGCTGAGTTCTTTATCTCTTCATTTGATGTTTTAGGGTTTCAGGATGTATTCTCCGTTTGGCTTAGTTTTTCGGGTCTTTGCTGTGGAGGGACGGCGTGGTGCTTCTGCCTTGAGCACCATTTTGCCGGCACTGTCTCCACTCATAAATTATTGTTTGTTATTACTGTTGCAGGATTGTATATGTTAAAGTATTTACCATTGTTGCCTTTTATTCTTGAGTACCTCTCATTGTCTTACCTTGCTTTGGTTATGCTATGTCGACTTCCCCCATATTGTGACTGCCTTTCCCTTCACCAAAGTTAATACGTGCCTACTCTCTAGTTAGTGATTTTCCCTCTCTCCCCCTCGCATACCTGGTAACCGTAAAAAAGTGTTTCTTTCTATGTGTAAACCTTTTCTTCACTATAATAAAACCCATTGCCATCGAGTCGATTCTGACTTCTAGCAATGCTTTAGGACAGAATTCTCTTGTACATAGGGTCACTATGAGTTGGAACCGACTCAACGTCACTTAACAACAACAGCAAGAACAACAGCAATAGGACAAAGTAGAACTGCCCCATATGGTTTCCAGGGAGCAGCTGGTGGATTCGAACTGCCAGTCTTTTGGTTAGCAGCTGATCACTTAACCCCTGCACCACCAGGGCTCCGTTTATAATAGTGGTTTCTTTCAATATTTGTCCTTTTGTGATTGACTTATTTCACTCAGCATAATGCCCTCCAGGAGCCCTCCAGATTCATGCATATTGTGAAATGTTTTGCAGAGTCATCATTATTCTTTATAATTGTGTAGTATTTCATTGTCTGTACTATGGTTTGTTCATCTGTTGATTGGCACTTAGGTTGTTTCCATCTTTTTTGCTGTTGTGAATAATGCTACAGTGAACATGGGTGTGCAGATGTCTGTTCTTGTCACATCTCTTATTTCTCTAGGGTAGATACCTAGGAGCAGGGTTGCTGGATCATATGGTATTTCTAGTTCTAGTTTTCTAAGGAAGCTCCATGCTGTTTTCCATAGTGGTTGTACCATTTTACATTCCCACCCGCAGTTTGTAAGAGTTCTAGTCTCTCCACAAACTTGTCAGCATTTGTTGTTTTCTGTTTTTTGATCAGTGCCATTATTGCCTGGGTGAGATGGTTTCTCATTGTAGTTTTGATTTGCATCTCTCTAATGGCTAATGATTGCAAGTATCTCTCTATGTGTTTTTTCACTGCCCGAATATTTTCTTTGGTGAAGCGTTTGTTCATGTCCTTTGCCCATTTTTAAAATTAGGTTGTGTGTCTTTTTGTTTTTGAATTGTTGAAGTTTTCTATAAATATTAGAGATTAGACCCTTGTTGGATATATCATAGCCCCCAATTTTTTCCCGTTCTGTAGTTTCTCTTTTTACTGTTCGGGTGAAGTCTTTTGATGAGCATAAGTGTTTAATTTTTAGGAGATCCCAGTAATCTTGTTTATTTTATGCTGTTTGTGCATTTTTATTTATGTTTGGTATTCTAAATATGCCGTTTGTTGGTGTCCTGGTGTTGTCCCTGGAGCCCTGGTGGTGTAGTGGTTAAGAGCTTGGCTGCTAACCAAAAGGTCAGCAGTTCCAATCCACCAGGTGCTCTTTGGAAACCCTATGGGGCAATTCTTCTCTGTCCTATAGGGTTGCTATGAGTTGGAAGCAACTCAACAGCACCTGAGGACAACAACAACAACAGCGTTGGCCCTATTTTTTCTTCTGTGATTTTTACGGTGTTAGGTTTTACATTTAGGTCTTTGATCCATTTGAGTTAGTTTTTATGTATGTTGTGAGGTGAGGTATGGGTCTTGTTTCATTTTCCTGTCAATGAATATCCAGTTTTGCCAGCACCATTTATTAAAGAGACTTTCTCTTTCCCATTTAATGAATTTTGACCCTTTGTCGAAGATCACCTATCCATAGGTGGATGGTCTGTACGTCTGTTTTTGTACCAGTACCAGGCTGATTTGACTATCGTGACTGTATGGTAGGTTGTGAGATCAGAGAGTGTGAGACCTCCTACTTTGTTCTTCTTCTTCAATAATGCTTTGCTTATCCGGGACCTCTTTCCGTATAAAGTTGGTGATCAGTTTTTTCATCTCATTAAAGAATGTTGTTGGAATATGGATTGAGGTTGCATTATATTTGTAGATTGCTTTAGATACTATTGACATTTTCACAATGTTAAGTCTTCCTGTCCATGAGCATGATATGTTTTTCCATTTAACTAAATTTAGGTCACTATGAGTTGGAATTGACTCGATGGCAACAGGTTTGGTGTTTGTTTTTTTTTTATGTTTGTTTCTTGCAGTAGTATTGAGTACTTTTCTTTATATAAGTCTTTTTTGTCTCTAGTTAGATTTATTCCCCATTTTTAAAAATCTTTTGAGTACTATTGTAAGTGAGATTGTTTTCCTGATTTCTTTTTCAGAGTTCTCTTTGGTGCTGTAGAGGAATGCAACTGACTTTTGTATGTTGATCTTGTACCTTTGCCACTTTGTTGAATTCTGCTGTAAGTTCCAGTGGCTTTCTTGTGGAGTAGTTTGTCTAGTCTTTATTCTGGTTCCCAGTATGGGAGACCCACTGACTAGCTGAGGGGAAAAAAAAAGTCCAGTATAGTTTAATACTTAATCCTATATAATGACTTAAATTGTTTAAAAGATAGTGCCCAATTATTTCTGGGATAAAAGTGCTTATTCCCTCAGTCTGCTTTTTACCCTGGGCTAGCTTAGGGGTGTGGAGTGAGGTGTATGGCCAAGTGATCTCCTGGCAGGGGCGAACTGCCCAGCTCCCTGGGTTTGATGTCTCCTGCTTTCTCTGGTCTAGCTGTGTTTGCCCTGCTCCCCTGTGCAGATGAAGTCCTGGCTGGTGTAACTCATTGTCGGGCCTTTCTGGCTGGTCAGAACCTAGTTGTGCTCCCTGGCTGGTTTTGTCTGTTTGGCTCTTCTCTCTCAGCTCTCCTGGATCTCTGCCATGTGTCCTTCTGGGCTGTTGGTCTGCAACTTCACCCACAACTTTTTGCTCCAGGATCCTCCTGTTCTTCTATGGTGGAGTCCCATGGCAGGCCCTCTGGCTCAGGAAATCTGAGCCTCACAGCTTACCATTGCCTGACCTTGCTTGGAAAACTCTCTCAAGGCAGTAACCTGGCTTGCAAAACTGTGGAGGTACTGTGGAATCCTTCTGTGTGTGTCAGATGCTGCATATTCATTTGATCACTTTGCAGTTCCTTCACTAGTAAAATCTAGTATGTCCACAGGCAGATAGATACTTCTACCAGACCAAGGCAAAGGTCATATAGTTGGAAAGACAAAACAACAAAACAATAATAATAATACTTTTCAGAACACTGTCACTATTACATATGTGTGTAGGTACATTTATGAGGATGGTATTTAGAGAAGTATATGTGTCATGCATATATGTAATTAAGAGATTTGGTTTCTGTGTTTCAGCTTTTTGCCATGACTGAAAATACTATGTTTTCTTCTGTTGTAGGACAGTTCGTGTCTGGTTAAAGAGAGACAGCGGACAGTACTGGCCAAGTATATACCATGCAATGCCTTGTAAGTATTTGGATCCCTATCTTAAAAAACCAAACATGCATCCCAACTCCCCTTTCTTCCCAGATTGCCTTCTCTGTATTTTCTACTTGAATAGGGAAGACCGAGGAATGGGATTTTCATCATAATGGAAAGTATCATATTAAATCATTTTAGATTTTCTAAAGCTCTCAGTATGTAAAATAAGAAAATTGTTCTGAAATTGTCTGTATGTTCATAGCTCCTGAATAAGTTAAATGGAAGAAGGGCTACAGCACATAGGCTCTCTTCCTCTCTTTTCCAACTTTTTGTTTAAATTTTTAATAAGGTACTTCCTTAGACAATTCAAAATTTTGTCCAGTGATTACCTTTGTGAAGTAAATTTGTTCTTGCCTTATTGTTATGTCTTTTATTCAAATTCAAGACTTTTAGCACTGAATATTCAGGTTTCAGCAGGATTTGCTTAGAATTGAAAAGTTCTGATTAGAAGTCAGTCTCATTTCCCCAAGGTCTTAGGTGGAGAAGTATGTCCCTGTACCAATAAATGATTACTCTTTCAAATATACTTAAAAAAAAAAAAAAAAGAGTGATTCTTAGACTATTCCACTGACAGAAGTTCCCCTATCGGCAAAGAAGAGCTGCCCTCCCCCAAACAGGAAATTTCTTTTTAGTCTAGTGTTTTATCTTTAAAATTACTTCAGTTTAAGGGATCCTGTTCCATGTTTATTTTAAAACAGAGTAATTATTTAAGTTCATTATCAGTTGTATTATTAAACATTTTTCTTACTCCCATCCATCAAATCTTAATTACAGTTGCTACCCTACGAAGGCCCTCTGGTGTCTTGTTTGGGCTCAGGTACCCTCTGGCTTGCTGCATGCAGTGTGAGCCCCAACCCTTGATGCAAGTATCCTGGTTTGAGAAGTACATGCCACAGTGTACAACCAAAATAAATTCATGCTAAATTGTAGATGTGATTAAGTTTATGCCTCTGGCAAAAGAATACTGTAATAATTTAAACAGCAATTTGGCCGTTAATGAACAAATGAATTATTAAGGATGTAATGGTTTTTCAGTGATTTCCAAATTATCTCTGAGGTTTTGCATGTCTTTTGAATTTTGTTGTAAATAGATGATACTTGGTTCAGCTTTGTGATTATTATCTATTTACTACAAAATTCAAAAGACATGTGAAGAAGAAACTTCCTGTATTTCTGAGTACTTATATCTCCCCTTGCCTGTTCTGCCACCAGTGAACACCATTATATGGCCCAGGCCCAAAGTGAACTTTCTTTGTAAGACATGGCAGTGATGAGGACTTAAGTAAATGGAAAAGGAAACAAATTCTGACTTTTTTCCTAATTTTTAAGTGAAGAAACTAGACTTATCCTTGGTCTTGCTTTTTTCATCAAACTTGAACACTATCTAGCTGGGAGAGCTAAGGAAGGTCTGTACTCCAGCAAGTTGAAGTTGGCCCCAGAGACCTGCAGCTTCCATGATTGTGGCATGGCAGACAGACGAGAGGCAGACATAGGTGGAAGGATGGGGACTTGGGAGTGGCAACCAAGGAATCTTCTTGAGATGAGCATTAATAGGATCCTCATGAAGACGTAGGATCCTAAGCAATTGCTTGCCCACCACCTCCCCATACACATATACATATACATATTGGTGTCTGTCTAATGCTCACTTTATTTGGATATCATAAAAAATACAGAGAAGCCTCTAGTGTGCAGTTTCTTTATTTATTAAGAAGCTGTATACAAGAATGCCTAAAGGCTGCTGTAGCTCATGCATCTGACGTAGGTGCTCAGTGAATACTTACTGAAGGAATGATGAAGTCTGATAATGAAGATGAGCTTGTGAGAACATAGATTACTTATTTCTCTAATGATTGCACATGAACTTTGAGAAGGAGGACTGTGTAATTATTTGTATATTTTATCTGTGATGTACTAAAGGGTCTAAAAAAGGAATTATGTTGTTATTTCAGTGATCAGCTTCAGCACCACCTAGAACTTTATAGAAATGCAAATATTAGGTTCCACTTCAGAACCCCTGGATCAGAATCTGTGTTTTAACAAGATCCTTGGGCAATCTGAATGTACATTAAAGTTTGAGAAGATTGTCTTATGACATTACAGCAACGTGGTGATCTATGTACCTGTGGTTATCTAAACACATGTAAAGCCTCATGCATATATTGTATCACTTTGTAAACACATAGATATAATTACACCATCTAGTCAATTAGAGATTTACAGAGCCCCTGCTATGTGCAGGCTGCTATGCTAAGTGCCAGGGATTTGCAGACAAACAAGGTGCACATGGTCAAGATGATTTCCTTAATCTTTCATTGTTGGATTGTCTTGCTGTCATATAGAAGTTAAACAAACAAAAAATACTATGTTCTCCACAGTTGATCAGAATGGATTTGTATGTGCCTAAGAATCTTATGCGTTCAGATGACGTAGTAGCTGATTTCTGAATAAGAATTTAAGCTTTATTTAACTTGAGAGAGGCAGAATCTTATTGCAGAAGAAGATAAGCCACATTTTCTGTCAGAGATCCAGAAATAGATTTGAGTTTCCAAGGGAGTTGTTTTGTAATCCTTCTAAGGAAAGATGTTTTGTTAAGACATTACTCAGTATTATCCTTAAATATCAGTTATGTGGTATTAGTTACAAAATAAATGAAAAGGTTCATTATATCTGGAGGCCATAATATGGACACTCCAAGGCAGATATGACCATATTGTGTGTTTATAGCAGTCTGCAATAAATAGTATTCCAAATATAGAAGAAAACAAAAATTTCCTCCAGGATGTGGACTGCATCCAATATATGTATGTGGACATTTTGGCAAAGCTTGCTGAGTTTTGCTCATTCTGGATCCTGCATCTGGCTCATCATCATCTGACCTTTGGTTCTTGGGACTTGAGCCAGCGATCTGTTGTATTGCCTGCCTATGTTGGGGTTCATCAGCCTCCGCAGCCCGTGAGCCAGCAGCCTGTCATCTGACCTGCCGTTCTTGGGTTCATCAGCCCCTGCAGCCACGTAAGTCGGGAGAAACCTCCAGCCTGACTTCTGACCCACGGACTTGGTACTTGCTAGCCTCTACAACTACGTGAGCCATTTCCTTGAGATAAATCTTTGTGTGTGTGTGTGTGTGTACAAATAGTCTTAGGCTAGCTTCTCTAGAGAAGCAAAAATCAGTGAAGCATATAAGTATATATATATATAGAGAGAGAGATTTATCTTAGGGAAATGGCTCACGCAGTTGTAGAGGCTGGCAGGTCCCAAGCCTGTGGTTCAGGTGTCAGACGTCAGGCTGAAGGCTTCTCCTGACTCACGGAACTGCAGTGGCTGATAAACCCAAGATCCACAGGTCAGATGACAGGCTGCTGGCTCACAGCTATGAAGGCTGACAAATCCAAGATTGGCAGGTAAGATGGCAGGCTGTTGGCCCAAGTCCCAAAAACTGGAGGTCAGATGCTGATGAGCCAAATGTAGGATCCAGAGCAGAGAAAATGCCAGTGAGCTTTGCCAGAAAGTCCACATATTATATGCAGACCACACCCTCAGGGAAACTCCCTTTTAACTCAGATTCCATCATGGAGGTGATCACATTATATCAGATCTTATCATGGTGGTGATTACATCATTATACAACTGCCAGACTACATAACTGCCAAACCATTGAGAGTCATGGCCCAGCTAAGTTGACACACAACCTTAACGATTATATATACGTATACATGTTTATATATACGTATACATATTTATACATACATACGTGTGTGTATGTATGTTTGTACACACACACACACACACACACACACACATATGCTTACTGGTTTTGCTTCTCTAGAGAACTCAGCCTAAGATATTTGGTACACTTAAAAAATGGTTGCCTTTTAAATGTAGTGTTATGTTCTGGGCAGGAGAGTAGCTGTTTTGTGGCTTTGAGAAGAATTTGAAGTTCTACTGGAGGGAAGGGAGTGGAAGGCATTAGGCGAGAAAAGATGAATAGCAAAGGTGATGTTTGATGACAGGGAGTCAGCCCAAAAGGTAGAGTGAACTCAGAGGAACAGCGACCAGAGAAAGATGAAGAGCAGACATGATCAAAACTACAACTGCTGCGCTGGGGGTATCTTCATACCCTGTCTTTTCTGAGATGCATCCCTTCTCTCTGTTAGGGAGGAGACAGAGCCAGGAGAGACCCACCTTGCCTGGTTAAGGCTGTTTGCCCTGGACCAATCTGATTTTCCTAGGAATTTAGAATTTGGAGTTGGAAATGCTAGTCTTAGCCTAGGCTGGTCTCTTGAGGTGCAGACATAAAAACTCCAGAGCAGTGAGGCAATCGTGTGCCTGAGGCAACAATGAGAGCTGATCTGCGAGAGCTGATCTGCAGAAAAGAAGAGTGAATCTGCTTGGAAGGACTGTCTGGCACCCCAGGGAGAGAGCCCAGCCAGTGATGCCTGATGTTTTCCTCCTCATGCTCCTAACGCCTCAAGAAGCCTGGCTCTGCTTTTGCCTGCGAGTTCAAGAGAGACCTCTGTCTCCTGCTGGGTATGTCCATTTGTGCTTAAGTAGACACGAGTGTGTTTCTCTTACATGGAACTGTAAGTACTTGACTAAGCCTAGCCGTGATTATGCACCTCCTAATTCCTGTCTGTTTGTTTCTCCTGGATCTCTGTGGTCTTTAAAGAGAAAGGACCAAGCCATGATCTGTTGATGCCACTGTGGTGTTGAGCTGGGAAAAGTGAAGGCATGTAACGGAGGAAAGCAGAAAATAATGTTTTATCCTGTTTTCTTTAATTTCTTTAGATGTTAATTCAACAAATGTTATATGTACTTCCATACCAAACACTGTGCAGGGTACTAAGGCTATAGTAGTTAAATATGGCAGGTGGTCCCTGTATTCATGCTATTCACAGTCTTGTGGGGAAGGCAGACATGAAATTAGTACCAGCCATGATGTGTGGTTAGTGTTATGACCTGGGAAGTAGGTATAATAGGGAGAT